TGCCCTTAATTCATATTAGCACTGCAACATAATACTACTCTATTGCCTGATTTGCTTGTCCACAGGATGCAGTGAGCTGGAGTCATTGCCATGCAGTGCTTCTAGGGGAAACTGAGGATCAACTATTTATGCATATCATACAAAAATATTTCTGTAATTCAGCAGGTCAGCCAAAGATTGTGCTGTGGCAGAATGCAAGATGAAAAAGTTATTTTTCATTTCTCATGAAGTTGACAGGTAGAGTGAAAAACAGGAACTTACCCCTCTGACAAATTGGTTATACTGTATAATTCATATCTTTTCTGGTATTGATCAGAGCAGTGATGTCCAGATGTCCAGAGGTGTCCATCATATTATAGACTCTGGTGAGAGGTGGGAGAATAAAAAGTGTTTTTTACATTACTGTGGGTGCATTCTGGTGTATGTCCTATGAAAGTCTGGATCCTTACAGTGTTTCTGAGTGCAAGGAAATGTAACCCCATGGTTGAATGAACAAAATGTCAGAGGGGCTTAGCTGTAAGCCAGCAACGCTGCTCTTTATATGATTCTGTGGAGCAAGCTCTATCTTCACTGCAAGCAAATCAATAGATCATAGCTGCTGTCAACTATAGCTGTGATCTATTGACTTACACTGCCTCTACTGCCAATGCTATTACCAATTCTATTACATCTATCGCTATTGTATAGAGACACTTAAAGCCCAAAGATAACTCAGAACATATGGGGACAAAATATTTTGCAGTCATTCCCACATTCCAGTCGAAGCACTCATCATCCAATTAGACAGGAAGAGGCAGATGGCCGCCTGGCGAGGACAGCTGGTTTTAAGAGTTTCACTGTTTGCCTGTCCACCGGCGTGCCAATCATGTGCTGATCTTCCTGTACTGTAACTCTCACAAGTTTGAGGCTGACACTGTCAAAATACTCAGGGATGTGTCATGAGCCCCCTGCAGAGACGAGTATTGCAGGCATATGATGATGCAAGAGCTCCATCTAGTGTTGTGGGGCTACTGATTAGGATCTGATCTCAGTGCTACGGGCCCAGAGGCTTGCTAAAAGACTTTGGGGGCTTGATTCCAGCATCATGTTCTCAATCTTAACAACACACAGTCCTTTATCTTCTGGTACAGTAGAGTTTTGGATGTATTCAGTCCAGAATATTAGAACCAAATGCTCTACAAATTACAATAAAACAGCTAAAATGTCTTTTTGAAAGTTTTATTTGGTGGAATCCAACAGTGAAATGTATTTTGTGTGTGTGTATATTCAGCATCTGACCTATATTTTAACTATTGTGAAATAAAGTTTAGATTTTGGTTGAATCTATCTAGCTAGAGCACTATCCAGAGGTAATATAAAAGGTTCACAATGCATCACTTGGCTTTTGCAAATTCACCAGAGAATCTGCAATACTAAAGTACAATATGAATCAAGACAAGTCCTGTATATGTCTTAATAAAATCCTAATTTTAAAACTTTCATCCTTATTTTAGTACAGATTACAGTCATTGGATAGATATTCAAACAAACTTTTTAGCACCACCATGAATAGGCAAATTATGCTTTCCTGAATATTTACTTTATTTGACAATATATGAAAATGATTCTGTCCAAGGTTGTGTATTTTAAAGACAAAAAGTGTGTAAATGGTGCTGGATTATATTGTTTGTGTTCTTTGTCTAAAACCAGAAACTTGCTTCAGTCACCTCCCCATTGTCCAGTGAAATCAACATGAGCCATAATGGCGGGTGGGAAGAAAGAGAGCGAGATAGAAAAATCCCATCGAACTTCCATGTCTTATCAGCTCAACACAGTGGGAGTTCTGTTCTGCAACTGAACAACTGCACACATATGCTAATCTGAGCCTTACAAACACCTCAGTACACACCGTCCCCACAACAAGAACACACTATTTCAAAGTCAGGCTCCTGACTGCAGCAGCCTCATGATTTGCCAGCAAGAAAGGAAAAAAAGGAGACTGTAGGAGGTACGGGTTGGTCTGTGAAGCGTTAGGAATCAATGCATCTGGTTGCCTTTGAGCACTCGCTATGTCAGAGACTGCAATTCAGAAGCACTGAGGAAGAAAGGATAAATAGGTTAATTGAAATATTAAGAAAGGGCATAGGCAGGAAATAGAATAACCCAGAGGCCACTGTGTTAAAAACAATATATGTAGTAAGAGTTCTCTTTAACAAAGGTGACATTTTAAAAAGCATTTCTTGTGGAGGATGCTCTTGTGCCCTATCTCTGCTGTGCTGTTGCAATGAGGTTTTTGGAAAAGGTTGGTTGTAGGGCTGAGCAAATTCCTTATTCACAGCAGGTCAACCAGGGCATTTCTGAGCTTACTCAAGCAAGTGTCAGTCGCAACCCATGTTCACACTCAAATCAAATTCTACACGGTTTCCTCTAAGGATGTTTTCTTCTGTGCTGGTGCAGGTGATACCCATGACTATGGTGCCACAAGCTTTTAGATGTCCCTCACCATACTGAGCTCCATTTGGCCCAACTGTGCACAGCAGGTAGTTTCAGACTTTGAGCTGACATTGCCTATTATCTTTACCCGTAAAGGTTCAGATAGAAAGGAATGGGAAATGGAGGCCAGGTAGCTTTTGATCATCACTTCTGCCCAAGCACAGGCTGGACAATATTGCAGACAATGGAAAACAGAGGTAGTCTGACTTCTCAGATGACTTCTGCCTGCTGTAAATAAATTGGCAGGTCAGATGACCATAAGGAGTTCAGAGAGTAGGCTGAGGGTTAGGATGCAGGGATCCTGGTACAACATCTTGTAGTCATGTTGTGTTAATGTTACTTTTATGTCTGTACATTTGAGCTATAATATTTTAGTAATACTGTATCAGTTCAAGTCTTGTTGTTATGAAAAGAGAACTACTTGGTAAATGTCTAAACAATATAACAGCTTTGGCTCTGACTCTTTGGTCTATGCTCAATGGAAACAAAATGAGCAAAGCTTTACTTATGTATAAAAAAACAGATGGCCAAACAGGATATCAGATTTGTTTGTCCATGTTCATACAGCCACGTTTCCCATAACAGTGTGAAAATAAATGAACGTAGGCATCTGTGCAAACGGCATCCTAGCAGATGAGAACAATAAGCAGAGATTAAGAATTGAAAAAAAAATCTCAGATTGAATTAAAATGTCATTTAGTTTAGATTTTTATGTTGTAACACAAGATACAGCAGGTGCAGGAACAGGTGCTAGCATCATTTCTGATGCTACTACTGCCACTGCAAGTATTAAAAACAATAGAGTTCCTACTGCAATTAGTTTAGAAACTAAAAGCTATGAAGGGATTAGAATAGTTGGCAGAGTGAAAGGCGCTACATGATGATGGAGGTGAATACTACATTATTTGAAAAAGGCCTTTAATGTACTAGTGTCTTGGATCAAGAGCTTGAGTATATTTTTCTTCCAAAGCTGCAATAAAAATGAATGAAAAAATAATCAGCTACAGTATGCATAGTGTGGCATAAGCCCCCTCATAACAATCCCAAAATACAAAACATGTATGAAAGGTTCAGGTGCTACAGCTGAGATTAATGACACAAAAAATGATTCATTATGCCATAACCACCATTTGTTTAAGCTTTACTTATTCAGGAGGTCTCACTGAGAACAGGTGAGGAACTTCTTTTAGTTAAACAAAGTTACTGTATATATAGGATCCCTTATGTGAAAGAGACCTCGGCACAAATTAAAATCACAGTAAAGTGAGTCTGTCACACAAAACAATCAAGAAACTTGCCAGTTAATATAATTACAGCAGCTATTTCCATCAAATCTGTAGTATAGGCCTCTAAGTGCAATTTTCCTCAGTAAGTAGTTCAGTTTTCAGTAACATAAATGCAGTAGCACATGAAGGAAAGCAGCCCAAAAAGGAATTGAACAACACTGGTAAAGCTAATGAATTACAATGTATTTTCAGCCACACTTCAGCCACAGTCACTTGCTATGATATACTTTAAATATGACACCACATAACCAGAAATATAAAACGTATGAATAACATTTTCCTTGCTAGTGACCTTGAGGTGGAGAATTAAGTCATGGAGACTGTGTGACAGTTTGAGCTGAGTTGGAGCTTTGTGTTGACATCCCATTGGTGAGTCATAATTTGCTGCCAAATATTTTAAATTACAGACTGCAGTGATTCTCATCTTGGGAATGATTGCCTTGCTTATTTCCTAAGTATTAAGCATTCGCTGCCAAGCCACCCATCAAACTCCAAAACTGCCTTTAAAGTGAGGAACTTGTTATTTATGACGGTCACAAGACAAAACACCAAATGTAACAGTATCTGATCAGATGAGGTACTCTGGAATATTGAAATTTGTGTAAATTTAATTTTGAGTTTAAATATATGTGTAGATGTGTCCAAGAGTCCACAGTTCATTCTGTTTTAAAGCAGCCTAAAGAAAATGTATGTAGATTTTTGGTAAAATTACTGCTTTTATGGCTCATTATTGCTTTAATCAAGGCAGTGTTGAAGCATTGCATCTCGTAAGTAGTTTTAGACTCCATAGGCTAATGGTGGCAGAAGCTAAACAGGCACATAGTATATACACACTCGGCACAGGTGTACACACCACCACGCTACCCCACACACACTCATACATCTCAGCTTGACTTCCATCCCTTCCTCAATATCTGCAGAAATGAGGGTGTTTTTGTATAAAGACAGAGGCGGAGACAGTGTTTATTATAACCTGCTGGAGCCCCAGAGATTCACCACCTCATATTTCATCTTAATGTACTGTATCTTCACTCACAGCCTCACATTTTTTCCTGTCTCACCATAGCCAGGAAAACTTCTGAGGAGAGAAACAATAATGGCAAAGCAGGTGACTTGGTGTTCACAGTCAGTCTCACCTTGGCCTTATCTGGGGCTTCCATATCTCGACAGATTAAACTGCCTAATTTAGACTGTGCTCTCGCCGGACACAGCAAGACGTCCCTAAGGAGCCACAGAGAAACAATGGATTTCTGCTGCAGCTGGAAGTGTGGCAACAGGCCTTGCCGGGCAGCCCGTTATACGCCTTGCTGTGCTGGATGGGTGGGCCCCACTGTGCTGCTCTGCGTCTATGGTTTCTTCTCCATGATGAGACCCATAGAGCCTTTCTTGACAGAGTTTTTCACGGGACCTTACAAGAATCTCACCGCAACACAGGTGATGCACTAAGCTACAAAATGAAATGTGTGACTGCTGTACAGGTAGGAAGCCTTAGGCCATTAGATTTGCTCAGCAGGTTTGTTTTAATATGAATAATATTAATAATGTAAAGAAATTTAAATATGAATAATACAATGTTTGGTTTCAGGCTGCATTTGAAATTTGCCCAGAGGAGAGATCCTAGTAATATTACATTTTTTTTTTTTTCCATGCATGAAAGAATAACATACACCAGAGCAAAATGACGTCAGCAGACCTGTTAGGTTCACATGACAAGTAAAGTTTGCTGCAGGCTGAGGAGACTAACAGAGCATCGACGGTATTATGCCTCACTGGTGGCAAGAAACTAAATTTTGTCACATACAAGGCATCAAGAAGACACAATTATAGCAGATATACTCAAGGCGTACATATGTGTTGCTCAATGATGCCTTTTCAGTTTGTCCTTTTGGGGGGGGTTGCGTGTGTGTGATGATATAGATTTTTTTAAAGTTTGTGAACCCAAGCAAAACCCTAAAAATTAAACTTCCTGTTTCAGTCATTCCAACAAAGTAGAGTGAGTAAGGACAAAACTGAGAGAGTGACGCCACAACCCTCACAGTAACCAAGGCACTGTGATAATTCAGGGGGACACCACAGTAATTAGGATTTATTGTCTGGGGACAGATTAAGCAATATTAAGTGATTATTTAAAGTTGTAAGCCTTAAGATTTTAGTCCTGATTAATTTGTAGACAGATGGTGAGTGTGGTAACAGCAACTGAAGTTAAATACTACAGCAAACACTCTCTGAGCTGCTGTGCTCAGAATTACAACAGAAGAGAAACTCTTGTATCGGTTTGTTGTATAGTGCAGCCGAATTAGCACACGTAATTTTACCACAAATCATTAGCTGCAGCCTAGTTTCACACTGTAGATGGTGCAAGTAATTTCCCGCCACAAAAGTGGGACACAAAGTTGCCACCTTCATGAGGAGCTGGAAGTGTGCAGCATGTCGCAGCTCTTCATCTAACCTCCCGCCATGGCTGCTCCTTCTTCTATTACTCCCTTGCAAAAGCTTAAAATTGCCTGCTGATGAAAATATACCTGTGATCGCTGTCTAGTCATGGAGAAGCATTTTGCTGAAAGATAGAGTTAACAGTACTGTACATGCACTGCAGTTCCTACGGCTGCTCCACAACAAGCCACTCGCCTTTTGCTACTTGTACACTTAATGTGAAGCAGCAGTAGTAAATATATATACTTGTAACTTTATGCACCTCCTTCTTGCTGCTTTCTGTTCATCATGCAAATGCAGAGTTTATTTAATAATTAATAGAGGTGAGAATGTATCTGGTGTGCAGATCTCGTGTTTCACATTAACGATCACTTTCTAAAACTAAAAAGTCTCTGTCTGCCTTCCTCCATATCCAGGTAACTACACAGGTCTATCCTGTGTTGACTTACTTCAGCCTGGTTTTCCTCATCCCAGTCCTCCTGGTGACAGACCTCCTGAGGTACAAGCCTGTAATCGTCCTCCAGGGGCTCTCCTATGTCACAGCCTTTCTGCTGGTACTTCTTGGCTCGGGGATCCGCGCAGCTCAGGTGGCACTCTTCAGCTACAGCATTGCCATGGCAGCAGATGTGGCTTATTTCACCTACATTTACAGTGTGGTTCAGCCCAGCTACTATCAGAGAGTGACCAGTTATGTCCGAGGGGCCAATCTGCTGGGCTACGCTGTGGGTGCCCTGCTGGCTCAAATCCTACAGTCTTTGGGCGGGGTGTCTTTGTATTGCTTGGCTTTTGTGACTCTCATCTCTGTGTCCATAGCACTGATAACTTCCCTGTTACTGCCCATGCCTAAGACTAGTTTATTTATTAAGGAAAACTATTCTGTACAACAGAGAAACGCAGATGAGGACGCTGACAAATCAGAAAGTCAGTACTACATCTGGGTTTGGAGCGTGACAGCTGCCAGGCATATTGGGAGGATGTTCACAAGGCTCGTATTGGACTGTAAGCAATGTTATTCCTCTGTGGCTGTGCTCTTCTTCTGCATATGGGCAGCTACGGGGAGGTGCGGCTTCTACCAGGTTGCAAGCTATGTCCAGCTCCTCTGGCTTTACATTCAACCCCATAACTTCACCGCCTACAATGGAGGAGTGGACGGCATCGGCACATTGTCAGGTGAACTGGGGGCACCATCAGTGGTGTGCTGGTGTATTGTGAGGGAAATACCTGGTTGGTAGCTGCTAAATTCTTCATAGCTAGAGGAGCTAGTCACTCACTTTGTCTGGCTGCTGTTTGGTGTTGGAAAGATAGTGTGCAGTGGGTTTTGACCCCAAAACATTTACCAAGTGGGGCTAAAAATGAATCTAATGAGAGTGACCCAAAAACAGTAAAGGTGAAGGCCATGAATCCAGCTAAGGAGAAGTGCAGACTCAGGTGATTTTCTATGAATTTGGTTTATCACTACAAGCAACATGTTCAACAATACATGTAGTCATTTGAGACATAACAAATATTGATTAGGGATGCTTTATATAAAGGATCTGGTAGCTCCTTGGTATGTTGTTTCTTGGGGAAAATAGCACCTCTCAGATTAGACATGATGTCACTTTGATGCTAGACTGTCACGCCAAACCCAAGAGAAATTGTTACTCAAATCCTGAGATCCTCAATTGATTCTGAATGACAACAACTGCATACCCAGCTTAAAGAGAACTGGTTCAGCTTCTTGTAAAAACAAGTCCAAAGCTTATGGGTGTTACACATATTCCGCTACCAAAAAAATAATTGAATAAATAGACAGAAAAGCCAATCCTTCTCTATCAGTATTTTACAACATCCAAAGCATGGCAGACAGACAATAGGAGCAGCATTAATTAGTCTATTTAATTGCCTGCTCTCATCCCCAGATGGGCATAGCAGCTGCTGCCAGCCAGCCACTGCACTTTTATTGATTATAGTACTGATACATTCCTGTATTCCCTAGAAACCAAAGGCAATTACTCTGTGTAAACCACATCCAGCTGTATGCCTTTCACTTGTAAATTGTTCTGTCCAACATGCAGTCAAGCTGTAGGGCCCATGTCTGATATTTCCCTAAAGATTCCTGTTGTATTTTTCTCTATTCCACACTTAGAAAAACATCCCTGAGGATAAAACCTGGTGAAAACCGAGAGGGAAAATATGAATATGGATTACCAACATGATAAAACACAAAGAAAGAGCACAACATAATTTGCTATTTTCAACGCACTTTAGTAGCTCATTAGTTTTAAAACAAAACCAAATGTATATGCAAAACAAACTGAATTATATTTAGTTATATTTAGATGTATTATATGAGGTTCAAGGACAAGAGGTTGCGGGGAATCTTGACTTATCTATTTATCTGTAGTCTAATAGATTAATTAAAAGTCATTTACACATCAAACATATATGTAAGTGAGTGGATAATGTCTTCACAACATACTGTAGGCCTAGTTTCAGTCAGGACATTACTTTCCGCAGGCCAGGGTTGTCCGTGGTTTCACATTTAAAATGGCATGAAACTGCATGCTGATTAGATTTTTGCTTAGATTTAGGCCACACACTGGAGCACAAAATGTACCGATTAAAATTTTACCCCTCCATGCAGCATGCATAAAATACAGTGTTATCTAATCGGCCTGACAACCTTACCACATCATCAGGTTCCTTATTTACCCTATCTGTGCCACACACGCGATACCCAAGTTCACAAGGAGTGTGACCTTCAGGCAACAAATGTTTGAACCTTTAAAATTAAAATCACAGTAAATCTGATGATTTCACAGCGAAACCAGCATTTGAATGATGTTTAGCATTTTTCAGGCTGGTGAAGTCTAGCAAAAGGAGAGGATGAATCCTAATGACTCTGGTGATACCCTCAATTGTTCTGTATCACCACCAGCAGGTTAAACTATAATGCAGTTAAGCAATTCAACTGACATTTCAGCACCACTTTAGCATTTAACATGCACTCCTGTAGCGTGAATACTGCAGAGCCCAGCTGCAGCTATTGATCCATCTCTATGAAGCTGTACAGCTGGTGTTCTGATGATCTGCACTGCCTTGTCGAAGAATGTTTATCATGAATCGAACCTTAACCCTACCCTGACAGAGCCCAAACTCGTGGGCCTGCCCATGGACAGAAGCACTAACTAGCACATATCAATAGGTAGCTCACATCAGCAGAACACCAGTTCCCGTTGACCCTGCTAAGCCTCCAGCTGACATCGATGTGGAAACTGGTCTAATTAGTCAGTCTCCATTTGACTCCCCTCTACTAATTAGAGCCAGGGGGCTTGATTAAGTATATCTTAAATACACAGGCTGACCAGGGTGGGGGTATGCTGGACTGTTAGCACTGATTGACCACAAAGGGACAAGGAATCAAAGACATTGTTTAATGCACAGTCTATCTTTGTGTGTCAGTGGATAAAGAGATCCAGGTTAATGGATCTATGTCTCCAGGGTTTTAGCAGTTCTCCTATTTACATTCACATTACTGAATGACAGTTAGGTTTATTTTTTATTAAACCATTTGAAATTACAGGACAGTACAGCAGTAGAGATGAATAACATGTAGCAAAGAAGTGATGTGAACTGAAGACACAGAGACAGATGAGATAAAACCATTTCAGGAAATAGAATGGGGAAGAGTGTCTTCAAGTAATCAATGCTCCAAAGGTTCACTGTCCTAAGTCCCCAGCTTTACATCCATCCACCGAGAATAAAGGTCATTCCTTCACATGTGGTGAAGGGAGCTTTGTGGTGTATCAGGGCTGCACTGTGCCACCTTGTGGCGGAAACAAGCAACATTATTAGACCCGTTCAGTGTTCAAATGCATGATTTTAATGTTGGATATCAGTATCAGATAGATACTGATAGACATCCACCTGAAATAACTGACTCTTTGTCAGACAAAGACAATATATGACACAGAGAAGAAAAGTCTGCTAAATAGGGAGGGATGAACTATGAAACAAAATTGAATAAATTAATTTGAATGATTAATTCATTTTGCCGTACATGTATTTTATTTTATTTCTCACCGATAACATGACATATGTAATTAAAATTAAACTATAGATATTAACCCTTGTGTTCTGTTAAGGATCATAATAATGGCACAGTATGAGCAGACACATTTTAAAGTACCTTCCAACATAAACAGAAGTTCGGATCATATTGTAAAAATAGAGCACCTGTGATATATTCCACTGCACAGGGAGAAAGTCTCCCAGATTCCTTTGAAAAAATCATTACGGTTTTATTGATTTGTTGAGTTAGGGGAAATAAAACAGAATTTAAAATCCTTCTACTAACATATAAAGCCCTTTATGACAAAGCTCCATCGTATCTTAAAGACCTGATAGAGCCTTATCATCCCAGCCTCACCACAGCCATGTAGTACCAGCACATTTTTGAGACAATCTAAAATTGTTTATTTTCTATAATTTAAAAGTTCTGTATGAAATTTGAGTAGAATGATTTCACACTGTACAGTTTCTTTTCTTTTGTACATGATTATTTACTGATTCTCAAATGTTGTCAATTAAATATGAGATTGATTTTTCTCTCTGTTTACAGTTAAATTTTTTCTACAGTGTGCCTACATTATGATACTTGACCAATAATTAGATAACATGGTAACCCCACAGTAAGACACAGCCTGACTGTGTTCTCCTTTAGGAGCTGCAGCCACTGTAGCTGTGGGCCACATGTCTCTGGAGTGGTCTGTGTGGGGGGAACTGCTCCTGGGGGTTTTAACATTCCTGATCGCTGGGGCTGTATTCCTGATGGATTTGACCGACAACATCTGGATCAGCTACACATGCTACATCTTGTCCAAAACGATATACATGCAGCTCGCCACCATCTGCAGGTAGGAATGGATTATGGAGATGTTTCTATATGGAACTACTGTCTAACAATCCAAAAATATAACACATCAGTGTGGATACATGCAGAATTTAAATATATGGTGCAACAAATGAACCATCAGCACAAGATGCTTTCCATTTTAAACAAATCTAGATATACCTTGAGGGCCATTATAGGCTGTTGTGGTTTATATAGTAAATGTGGTAGCAATGACAGAATTTCTCTTCTCATCCTTTGGGCCTGTTGGTCTATCTTTTTATTTGGGCTTTGTGGCTACAGCAGAGCATAACACACTACCCTGGTCACCTCCTTGGTCTTCAGATACAATAAATGGGCCCTGGTTAGGAGACAAAATCAATCTACATTTACCCATAACTCCCTTGACTGCATAGAAGTTGACATGTATTTTTGGAGAAGCAAAAATTCAACTTAAGTTGTCTTGGAGATGTAAAATGCTGGACAACCAGAAATCTTCTTCAGCTGAATGAAAGTAAGACAGGGGTCCTTATTATTGGTCCTGAAAAGTTCCATGATCGTTTAGTCCAGGCGTTTTCAACCAGTGGTCCTTGGCCCCCTAGTGGTCCATGACAACACTGCAAAAGGTCAGTGACCATGCGTTCAATAACGTAGTTTCACCAAAAGAATCACTGTATTTGAAATGTTATTTTTAAATACATTTCCATATATTTAATTTGATTGTGCTTTGTTGTAGGCCCTTAATGTAACTGACAAATAAACAAATCTGCATGTGCAACTTCAATTTACTGTGTGGTTCTCATGTACAGTATGTATATCCCAGTTTTCAGATAGCTAAGACACTGAGCAGGAAGCGCTATGCGTTGGTTTTCGGCATCAACATCTTCATGGGAATGGTACTCCAGAGTGTCCTCACTGCCATCGTCATCAATACCAAGTCTCTACAGCTCACTATCACTTCCCAGGTACTGGAGTATCTAAACATACTGAATGTGAAGTGATAAAGAGCTTCACAATAAATTGAGGAAAATAAATAAAGGGAAATAAAATAAACAGTTTTTGAATAAATAAATAAAATATAAGCTGAAAAAAGTATTTATTTATTTATTCTTTTTTGTCTCTAGTGGTTTGTTCACCAAATGCCCTTCAAAGAGAATAATGTTGTTCTCATTTTTTTTCATTAATCAGCACTATTAACTGTCCTTAGGTAGTCAGTCACTGTGCAAATAACCCTCACTTCTCTTTTCAGTTTGTCATCTACGCCTCATTCTTTGTTGCTGTTTCCCTGCTGCTCACCGTCAGAGGCGTGTATACTGTGCTACACATGAAACGTGCTGCTGCAGGCAACCAGGCAGAAAGAGCCACCAACCTGCCAGAAGGCTCCCATGATCTGTGACCAAGCTCTAAAAATATACACAACTCACACAAATGTAATGGATTACCCCAGTGCCAGCAATCAGCAGCAAAAAAAAAGCTTGGACACACTGTAAATACATGTGTAGAGCGTCATTAGCAGGATTTTCAATGATTCACTTTTACAGACGTGTTTTGACTCATAATGGAAGTGCAACCCCTCCAAGTGGCCACCAGATGGCACTAGCTGTACAAAATAAAAGAAAAAGAACACTACTGGCAGCTCTTTCATTATTTTCTGTGTGTGTTTGATGCATGAACCTGGATGTTGTAAGCCAGAAAAAGTATCAGGTTCAGCTAGTACAGGTGTTTGACATTCAGAGGGCTTAGCTGAGATGAAAAAAAAAATTGTTTTGTTTCCAGTGCCTGTCTTTAATGCAAAATTTAAGTCACCTACACAGTTGTGCATTTTTATTTTGGAGATTAACTTTATAATAATTTAACTATTTTTATGAATCTCTTGGTCTCCAAATGTACTACTGACATTTGGTGAACATTTTTAATTATTTTCTCAGACACTTCTCATTTTACATAATAATTGCATAACAACATATTGGCTTCTCAGGTAAATTAAAACCAGGACTGCTGTATATGTGGGGGAAAAACTATAAAAATAACCTGTTTTTAAAAACCTACAAATATAATCAGTACTGAAGACACACTAGATTGGATGTCATGATACTTTATGTAAGCTCTGTTACAAAAGTTGCAAATCCTCCCCAGCACAGCCAGCAGCCTGCTCTCGTTATATTCAGCGAACAACGTTCCTGGACTTTCTAGAAAATATTTTCCTCTACTGCTTCTTAAAGGGACACGTAAGGTTTTGGTACAGCATTATAAATCCCGATAAATACCTCTGGGCTCACTGAGGATGTTTTGATACTCACCTGACGATAGGATAGGAGTGACGTTTGTGAGTTAAGGGCATTAGTATGTGTAATAAGACAGTGATGGTGAATGGTGTTGCCAGGTAACAGATTCATTTGTTTCTGAGGATTTGGGCCATGTTGAAAAAGGCCTGATTCTGTATTCTAGCTACTGATTAAATATATCTTGGCACAAAGGTATATTTCCAGGAAGTAAACCTAAAAAAGATGGGATTAACATGTACTCTAATCACCATCCACCTTGTTAAAATCAGTATAGTGCAATCATTTTCAGGAGGTGGTGTCTAAACCTGCTGCTGTAATTCTGCATGTTTGTGATATTTGCCAAATAACAGTTGCTGTCCTTTTTTTTATAAACACCATACAGCAGTCAGGCAGACAGAACAAATGGAAATGAGCAGTCATCCACAGGCACATGATGCATGCATTGTAGCATCTGACTTTCAATTATATGTGTTAATTAATTATATCTTAATGATGATATGTCCCTTTTTTGGTTTTGTCTGGTGTTGTCATTGAGACTCTTGCAGTTTTCTGAACATTATCAGATTAACTTACAGTATGTGTTTAATGTACTCAGCAAATTGATCAGTCAACTTTCACATCCTGGGTTTTTTCGATTCAGTGAGCAGATTGCCTGCTCATGAAAGTGAAAACAGGTGAGCTGCTCTATCCCTGACTGAGCCCGGTTAAGTTGTTTAAGCACAGTTTGTTCAAAAGCAAATGACATTCAGTGAAATTCATGTGGGAGCTTTTGTGCGGGTACCTAAATTGCAGTGTCAGTAATAATAAGTTTAATTTATGTAAATTATTTTGTTGTTAATTTGTATCCTTTCCTTTGTTTGATAGCACCACTTTAACTCACCCCTGTGCTTACATGAGTAGATGGTAGGTCCCATGTTCAGGTGACACTGAGTACAAATCAGATAACAGTCACTGCTCTGTAAAAGCAGATGGTGGTTTCTTGCTTTGTGGGTTTTATTCTTTAATGTTGCCATCAGTATTGTTCTAGATACAGCAGTGCTTGCTGGCTGGTTGGTTGGTCCACCACTTTGGTCCAGGCTGAAGAATCTCAAATCTGAAATTTGATACTTTGATACATTCAGGTCTTTCCCAGAAGAAGAATCCTACTGTGCTGGATGACATTTTGTGCACATGTTCATGTCCCTATCAGGATGAACTCCAATCCTTTATCTTTAGTTTGAATTACCAAATGCTATTGTGCTTGGTTGGTGAACATGGTAAACATTATACTGTACATCAGTAGCCATTCAAAGGGCCACACTGCTGAGTTAAGGGGCCATGTTTACCATGACTGCAGCGTATTTGTGCAGCAGCATGGCATGTGATATAATGAAATGTCTGTAGGTGGTGCTAAGCTTCAACAGCTTCTCACAGGTACTGTTTACATATGATATCACATCATTCTGCTCTGAAATACCATCAGCACCACTGAGCAGGTTAGTGTAGGCCCATAGCACATTCTGTACTTTAAAGAAAAATGAAGTAAAGAAAAAGCCCTGTGGTCATAGTTTGTCACAGTATTGTATTTCTGTACCATGATTTTATGGAAAAAAAAATATAAGGTACTCTGCTTGTTTTAGTGTAAAATAATTATTACTGAGTTCGAATTTGGTCTCAAATCAGCTATTTTCAACAAGTGAATGGAGGCATGTGTTGACAGTGCCACTGCTTCAGGAGCCTCCTACCATACACCAGTTTGTCCACTTCTGTGGGAAAATGTCTGTGTAGTAAGATGTGGGGGTTGTTGTTTTTTTTTTTTTTTTATAGAACTTACATTTTAGTTTTCACAGCATCCCACACCCCTCCAATAAATGAGAAATGGATATTTGCCTCCCCTTCATAATATTTGGTATGTGAGACATCATCAAATGCTTCCAAGTGCAGAATAGAAAGTGAATGCTCACTGACCTCTTCCTGCTTTGTGTTGGTTTACACGTCAGCATGTGCCACAGGTGAGTTTCTCCTGATTACATCTGTGCAGTGCAACAGGGCTGCTAATTCTGGGGGAAAGTAACTAAGTACATTTACTCAACCACTGAAATACAATTTGGAGGTATTTTTATTTTCTGCTACTCCATACTTCAACTTCACTAGATTTCATAAAAAATGTGATAACTTAGTTACTTTTCAGAAAGAGGTTATTAAAACCAAATACAGTATATTCATAGGATTTATTGATCCTTGGTGAAAAATTCACAAGCTACCCAGCAGTACTTAAAATTATAACTATATATTGTAGTTAAAATTTGCTCTACCTTTACCAGCTACAACATTAAATGTGATGTGCACAGTAATACATCAATAATAATAATCAAATAATACATGTACATATAGTTAACTAGTACATATAGTACATCAGTGTAAACTGTGCCATTTTACCTAAAGAGAAGTTTTACTTTTGTATTTGACATGTATTTTCTGCTAATACTTTTGTAATTTTGAGTGCTTCTTCCACCACTCATGTCAAGTGGTGGTCCATTTGCTGCACATTGTATCGACTGCAGATTGATGCTGCATCTCTTCTGTATAGTTAATTAAACACCTGCAATTACAGAAGCAGCAACAGGAACAGAAATGATGCAGTGTCAGACTAATACAGACAGACTGCACTTAATTTTACACCTGGATGGCACAGCAGTGTGACGTCATTAACTGTGTAAATCTCTGGACATGGCAACTGTACCTAAAGGTTTCCCAGAGCCAGTCTGTGTCTTGAATTTGTCTGTATACCTAGACATTTTATTCAAAGTAAAACTGTAGACATTATGCAATGTATAGCAGGAAAAGCTCGGGCGTTACTAACTGCATAACAGCGAGCCATCGTGCACAACAGCAGGACCCTGAAACTAATGCAGTTAAATGAAATTCAGACATCAAAAACTGTTTTATTCACACTTGTGCTTTTATGATATGAATAATCAAACTGGTTTCTGTGAACAAGGCCTTTTGGTGATAAGATGTTGCCTTGTGAAAATTAATTCCTGGTATTGATTTGATGTGGAGTTTGCTGAAATTTGTTAAACCTATCTGCCAGTGCTATTAGAGAGGGATTATGATAAGGATGAATTTGTCTTGAAACCAGAGTCCAGATGGTGTAATGTTTGTTCTTTCAATGAAATGGTTAATGCTTCCTTGAAGAGCATTTCTTAGAACTAATGCTTATTTTTGTGAATTCAGGTTTGCACATAAACCGGCACCCCTGTCACCCCTATCATAGATAAAGTGTGTACACTTTATTCAGTTGTACTCATCGGCCTCTGTGTTAGAGGAGCTATGGAGACTATGAAGTGTTGTCAGATTAAACAAGGAACAGGTTCATTGTACACTGGTAAAATGCAGTGAAATAAAGACATAGCTGTCTTTGATGGATCAGTTCACAGTCTTTATTTTAAAGACTAATTTCCATAAAATCTATTAAACAGGACTTGTTGTAGAAAAAATTACCTTATTGTAAGAGCAACACATTTCAGCTTGTGGCCTTCATTAGTCATAGCACTTATCCTGAAGAGGTTCGCGCAGGGGGAACAATCCCAGCTGACACTGAGAGAGAGGCAGGGCCTACCCTGGACAGGTCGCCTGTCTGTCATAGGACTGACACTCAGAGACAGACAAAACACACGCACTCACACTCAAGGGCAATTTAGAGTCACCAGTCAGCCTAAGCTGCATGTCTGTGGACTGTGGGAGGAAGCCAGAGTACCGGGGCCGGGACAGAGCCCACGCATGCACAGAGAGGACATGCAGCCTCCGCACAAAAAGGCTTCGGGTTCGCCCCGGCTCGAACCTTCTTGCTGTGAGGAGACAGTGATGACCACCGCTTCTAATATAAGGAACGTCTAATACAAGGTCAATAAAATACAATAAAAAGCACAAACCAATGATTGCCATGTGAAACAGGATAAAGAGCAGCAGTCACAACATTTGACTTCTTTTTCACTCACTGACATGGAGAAAGTTCTGCTTGGTAGTTGCTGCAGACTACTCGAATGTGCTGCAGCTCCCACGTGATGTGCTCTACCTCACTACATCATAGTGTGTGAATGGTCAGAATAGCCTGTAACATTTACTCCAGTACTGTAATTTTGAGGTGCCTGTATATGAGTATTTCTATTTTTTGCTACATTATACTGCACTTCACCCAATACTGTCAGTCATGTATCAGCCTTTCTGTCCTTTCTTAACTGAAGTACTCTAATCATTCCCACACTAGCCA